TTTGAGTTCAGGGAAGTTAAATGGCATCACACAGGTAGTAAATGGCAGTCTCTGGATTCAAACCTAGAAAGTGCCTCTTTCTTCTCCTCTGGTAGTTTTTGAAAGTTGATGGGAGGAAAATCCTGGGAAATATGTTTGCATCTTTATTGAACATTTTGATGTGTTGGCGTGTTAGATTGGGCCTATTTTGCACTTGTAGTCTATTCTGCCATGGTTTAGCCCAAACAAAGCAAGGTCATAAGCCATTCTCTTTAAAATTTTTCCTGGTACTGGGGATTGAGCCCAGGGCCTCACACCTGAAAAGTATGTGCCTTTACCACTGAGCTATAGCCCCTACCCCATTGTTAGCCATTCATAAGTGGCTTCTCCTGGGTGAGATTGGTACTGATGTAAGGTGACTGAATGGGGGGTAAAGTTCCTAAGGAAATCAGCCACGGGGTGTACCCTTTTTCTAAATATCCTAAAGAAATTGATCACTAGCACACATCACAAAATCCTGTAAGGAAGATGTCTGCAAGCATTTCTTTTAGGGAAGAAGGAAATGCCTTTGAGAAATAGAGTAACATTAAGTAAAGAACACACATTGCTTAAGTGCTTTTGTCTTTGAAGTATATCATGACCTACAGTCAAAAATCTCTTATTGTTTTTTTTTAATTTATTGTTTAGTTGTTGGACACAATACCTTTATTTTATTTATTTATTTTTACATGGTGCTGAGGATGGAACCCAGGGCCTCTCATGTCTAGGCAAGCGCTCTACTGCTAAGCCAAGGTATTAGTTGAAGCTGGCATAACAGAATTCCATGAACTGAGTTATGGTTTTAGATGGTAAAGGGGAGGGTAAAAGTGTAATTCCTTTGACTTTGATGTTGGCTAGGCAACTTAAACAGCAAACATTTATTCCTCAGAATTCTTATAGCTAGGAAGTATAAGATCAAGGTGCCAGCAAATTTGGTTCTGGGTGGGGATGCTGCTTTTTGGGCTTGCAAATGGTAAATACTGGAGATTATTTCCTGAAACCATGTTGAAACCACTTTGTTTATGCATGGATGAAGAGTGGGCCCCAGGGAATGGGTAAGAAATAGACTGGCTATCTACAGAGCCAGCAAACTGCCATCTGTACCTACCCCTTTGTGTAAAGTGTTGAGTGGAAAAATCATTAGGGCTAGAAATTTGGAAACATTTTGCTGAGTAATCGTTTTCATTCAGAAATGTCAGGTGTAGGGAGAAAACCCACAGTTTTTTTAAAGCACAGTATGGAGCCATATGGGTATTAACTTGAGTTCTTCAACCCTGATGAACTTGGTTACTTCTAGAACTAGAAATTAGTATTAAAGAGTGTTAGAGTATATGTTTAGAAACAGTATAATGAGCTCCATTTCCTATTAAACAGTCCAGAACTTTCAATCTATTTATCTCTGATAAGATATTATGATGTTAAAAATTATACAGCATATTATATAAAAAAGAAAACTCTCTATTTAAAGTCATTACAAAAGTATTCTGAAATAATTTATGCTATGTAATTCATTCTGTATCAATGGTAAGACAATATTGTATTTGTTGTCTCTAGAATTTGCCTGAATTGTTGTGACTTTGTTGCTTCAAAAGTAGGAAAGTGGCCTATCTTCTTTTTTTTCTCTATTCTGTCTTACCCCTTCTGGGATCCAGAGAAGGGGTTTGTGGCAAATATTTGGAGATTCAGAGGTGATGGAAGCACATTCTGATAATAGATCCATAATACCTGAGTTATGGTTTTAGATGGTTAAGGGGAGGATAAAAGTATAATTCCTTTGACTTTGAAGTTGGTTAGGCAACTTAAATTGAACAACTTAATGTGCTTTTTAAGACCTAGCAACTTTCTCAAGTCCTCCTCCTCTTGCCCTTCCATACCTTTTTCATTAAGAAATAGAGTAAGGGTTTTGTTTTATGAGCTATGGTTGGGTTCTTGGCTCTTTGCTTCAAGCATCTAGTAGCATGGACTGGCATTGTAGTTTCCCTCCTTATTCTGCATCACAAATTCCAGCAGTCTGCTCAAGCATTGGAGACCTTCCTCATTCCTCTTGAAAGGGCAGATCAACACTGAGACAAGGCCTCACTTTTAGATGTATGTGGAACATGCAGAGGAGTGATCCTGGGAAGTCACCTTTCCTCATAAAGTCTTTCTTGGCTCGCTCTCTCCTAGGAATTCAGCAGTAGACTGCATCCTTTATTCTAACTTGAGAGTCTTTTATGTGCCAGTTGCTATGCTATAGACCTCAGTTGTAAAGGTAAGCAACATGTGGTCCTTATCTTCAGCCAGCTCAGTTTACTACCACACTTTTAATCACTTTGGAGAAGATGCTGTTTGAAGGTTTGTTCAGTAACATAAACTTTGGTCAGGATGGAAGATAACTGGTTTTCAATTTAAAGAAAATGAATAATGGGCTAGGGGAAAAGGGGAGACCTGCCCAAGAAGACATTAAAAATAGATGGGAAAGACAAAAAGTCACTTTTTGTTAAAATGAATTTGTTCATTTAAAAAAATTTTAAGGAGAAATGCATTCATTTGATTAATAAAATTGTTAAACGTGTATTATGAAAGTTTCCTTGCTCTCCATCTAATTCTTATATAAAGGTTTCTTTATTTAAACATAAACTAATCTCAACATTTTATTTACTTACACATTCCCATTTTTACATGATAATCGCATACTCCGTTCACTACTCTCTATATCCCTTTTTTGTTATTTAGTGTAGTATGGAGATATTTCCCATGTGAGTATATAGAAACTTCCTCATTGTTTTCTGCATTCATGTATTTTTAGTTATAGATGTACCCTGATTTAACAAGCCTCCTATTGGTCGGCATTGAGATCTTTGCTGCCTATTGGGGGAACCTGGGTAAAGGATCGTGTATGTAGATTTAAATAAAAATTTCAGTTAAAAAAACTATTGCTACTAATATTGAATTCACCACAAGATACTATTTGCAGGTAGATCAATTCAAATAACATGTTTTTCTGTGTTAGGACTACAGTGGATTAGCTGAGAGACCAAGAGCTGGCAGTGTAATGTTGGGGAACCCTAGGAGTATATTGGGTTCCAGACCTGCACTTCACTTTGTCAGGTCCCATAAAAATATGAGAGCATGGGCCAGCACATCCAAAGATTTTCTGGGGCAACCCAACTGGGTATCCTCTCATAGTGTCTTTGGTTGGGCACAGGGACATTTGTTTAAGCACCAGTGTGTCAGAACAGTGAGGGTTTGGATGTTAATGATTGGGGAGAAGAACTGGGAAAGGGCCCCTCAAGATGAGCATTGATATGAGTGGATCTGTCCCAGTCATGCCCAGCATGTTTCCTGTTGTCACCTGTATTTTGCTGTACCTTGTGCTATAGCATTGGCTCTAGTATGAGATAGAGCATAGTGTGGCATAGTGGATCCTTAAGACCCTACTAGGGATTCTCTAAGGCCAAAACTCTTATTTTTTTTTTAAGATTTTTTAAAAGATGGACACATTATCTTTATTTCTATGTGGTGCTGAGGATCGAATCCAGTGCCTCACATGTATGAGGCAAGCACTCTATCACTGAGCTATAACCCCAGCCCCACAAAACTCTTCGTAACAATACTTAGACATTATTTGCAAATCACTCTTTCTCGTATTGAAGTCACTGGAGTTTTCCAGAGGCTTTTTGATATGAAATAGAAGATTAAATGCAGAAGCTGGTAGGATAATCCAGCTATTTTCTATTAAGGCAGTCATGTAAATAATAACATAAACCAATGCTATTCTTCTTGGTTTTTTGTTTTGGAAAATACAGATATTTCCCTCAAAATATAGAATTCATGTTACCATGTCATAGTGATATCATTTTTAAATTATTTAATTTTAAGAACTTTTGCAGTTTTAATTAAAAAAATTTTTTTAATTGTAGTTGGACACAATACCTTTATTTTATTTATTTATTTTTATGTGGTGCTAAGGATCGAACCCAGTACCTTACCTGTGCTAGGCAAGCACTGTACCACTGAGCCACAACATCAGCCCTCAGTTTTAATTTTTAATAGGTTAATAGCAATAGACAAAACCCACATAAGCAAAAGCTCTTTGGGGCTCTCAGTAATTTTTTGAGGATGTAAAGGGGTTCTGATATCAAGAAATTTGTGAACTGTTGCCTTGACAGAAAGCACTTGGCAAAAAGTTCATAGGCTTAACTTCTGGTCAAGGCTTTGCTTTGTGACTAAGTCACTTAATCTCTTTATTTGGTTTCTTCTTATAACCTTTTCTGCACTCCTTAAGGAAAAGAGAATGCTCTGCTTTCTCTTCAGATTGTATACATCTTTTGCCTTTTACTAAAGAAAAGATATATATATGAAAGGCTAATTTGAAAATATGGTGCTCTATGCTAAAATCAGGGGAGTTTAATAGTTATGTAACTAAACTTATGTGGAAGGAAGATGTGAAGAATGAGAGTTTAGATCATGTTAGCAGATAGTCTACTTGTTAAATTTTTTCATTTTAGCATCTCCTTCTAGCAGTTTCTGTATACATTTTATTCTCAGTTTTTCAGGCAGCCATTTTAATTATTGTAAGAAAGTAAATACATCTTCCAGCATTTTCAGTCAAGCAGGGATTTCTATTTATAATACCTGAAGTAGTGTGATACAAAGTCAGGACTTCTGAAAGAAACACATTACTAGATAGATGGCTTTGGGAAAGTTTGTCAACCTCTCTGTTTTTTGGCTTCCTCATCTGTAAAATGAAGCTAATAGTGCCTTATTTTCCAGAGAATTGTGAGTGGGAAAGACAATGCACAGGAAGCATTTGGAAAAAGTGGTTAGTACATGATAGACGCTACATAAATGATAGTTGCAATGATTGTCATTAGCATTTTAAAAAAGATCCAAGATTAAATTTGTCTCTTACCGTCATCACTGAATTTATTACACAGTTTATTCACAAATATATTACCAAAAACTTCCATTTCATTTTATTCTTTTTTTGTCTGTTGAAGGGCTATTGAGTGGCCAGACTTCCCCAACAAATACCAAATTGGAGAAACTGGATTCTCAGCAGGTGTTGCAGCTGTGCCTCCGATATCAGGATCACCTGCACCAGTGTGCAGAAGCTGTTGCTTTTGATCAGAATGCTTTGGTTAAACGAATCAAAGAGGTAATGTGCTGTGGGAAAATAGCATTGATGACTCATTATCGTGAATCCCTGTAACCCTGGAATGCTTTGCTACTGGGCACAATAGCCAGTGATCCTGGCTTTATGGGAAGTAGTTATTTTCCCTCAAAGGCTTGGCATTTGTCCCCATTGCTTTGAGGAGGTGGTCTTTCGTAGCAGTAAATGTGATGGTGACAAGTGGTCCATAAGCTAGACTAACCTGGAGTTTGAATTCTGGTTCACTGCTAATTTGGTTGGAAGTTAAGTTTAAGTTCTCTGTGTCTCAATTTCTTTATGATAAATTGGGCTAATAGTAATAACCTAACTCAAGAGTTAAGTGACAGTGAAATTACTAGGTGTTAGCTGTTATTAATATGTGTAAAGTCCTGCCATGCTAATTTGTTCTGGCTAACATTATATCTTTGAATTGACTTTAGCTGTTTATTATATATAATTTATATTTTGCTTCCCTATAAGTTATCATTTCTTTGAAAATAGAAACCTTGACATCTCCCTCAATTATATTTTTCACTGTTAGCATATGAAAAGCTCAGTTATTATTCTTGATTATATGGAAATGATTATGCCTACTTAATACTTTTTTATTATTAAGTTATTTATTTATTCTAATTTATTATATATGATGGCAGAATGCAATTCATTTCATTTTATACATATAGAGCACAACTTTTCAAGTCTCTGGTTGAATACAAAGTATTTTCACACTATTCTTGTCTTCATACATGTATTCAGGGTAATGATGTCTAACTCATTCCACCATCTTTCCTACCCTCATGCCCCCTCCTTCCCCTTTGGCCCTATCTAAAGTTCCTCCATTCCTCCCATGCCCCCCCCCCAATCCCCATTGCCATTATGAGCATCCTCATATCAAAGAAAACATTCAGCCTCTGTTTTGGGGGGATTGGCTTACTTCACTTACCATTATATTCTCCATCTCCATCCATTTACCTGCAAATGCCAGGGTTTTATTCTCTTTTAATGCTGAATAATATTCCATTGTGTATATATACCAGTTTCCCTATCCATTTATCTACTGAAGGGCATCTGAGTTGGTTCCACAATTTAGCTATTGTGAATTGTGCTGCTAAAAACATTGATGTGGCTGTGTCCCTGTAGTATGTTGTTTTTAAGTCCTTTGGGTATAGTACAAGGAGTAGAATAGCTGGGTCCAATGGTGGTTCCATTCCAAGTTTCCCAAGGAATCTCCATACTGCTTTCCAGATTGGCTGTACCAATTTGCAGTTTTATCAGCAATGTATGAGTGTGCCTTTTCCCCACATCCTCGTCAACAGTTGTTTGTATTCTTGATAGCTGCCATTCTGACTCGAGTGAGACAAAATCTTAGAGTAGTTTTTATTGGCATTTCTCTAATTGCTAGAGATGTTGAACATTTTCTCATATTTGTTGACTGATTATATAGCCTCTTCTGAGAAGTAGACTGTTCAATTCCTTGGCCCATTTATTGATTGTTTTATTTGTTTTTTTGGTATTAAGGTTTTGAGTGCTTTATAGACCGTAGAGATTAGTGCTCTATCTGATGTGCTTGTGGTAAAGATTTGCTTCTGTTCTGTAGGCTCTCTGTTCACCTCACTGATTGTTTCTTTTGCTGAGAAGAAGCTTTTTAGTTTAAATCATTCCCATTTATTGATTCTTGTTTTAATTCTTGCACTATAGGAATCTTATTAAGGAAGTTGGGGCCTAATCCCACATGATGGAGATTTGGGCCTACTTTTTCTTCCATTAGGCACAAGGTCTCTGGTTTAATTCCTAGGTCCTTGATCTACTTTGAGTTGAGTTTTGTGCATGGTGAGAGATAGAGGTTTAATTTCATTTTTTTAAAAAAATATTTTTTAGTTGTAGTTGGGCACAATATCTTTATTTTATTTGTTTATTTTTATGTGGTGCTGAGGATTGAACCCAGCACCTCGTACACACCAGGCGAGCACTCTATCACTGAGCCACGACCCCAGCCCTTAATTTCATTTTGTTAAATGTGGATTTGCAGTTTTCCCAACACCATTTGTTGAAGAGGCTATCTTTTCTCCAATGTACGTTTTTGGTGCCTTTGTCTAAAATGAGATAACTGTAGTAATTTGGGTTAGACTCTGTGTCCTCTATTCTGTATAGGTCTACAGGTCTATTTTGGTGCCAATACCATGCAGCAAAAATTGATCACTTCAACAAAGATAAGAATACAAATATAGGCGACCATTGATCATACCAACAAAGAGATAAGATAGCAAATACAGTTAGCAAGAGATTACTTTAAGAAAGAGAAAGAGATTCTGAAAACAAACAAAACCCAGAAATCCTTGAAATGAAAGAAACAATAAGCCAAATAAAAAAACTCAATAGAACGCATTACCAACAGACTAGATCACTTGGAAGACAAGACCTCCGACAATGAAGACAAAATATACAATCTTGAAAATAAAGTTGACCTCACAGTGAGATGGTAAGAAACCATAAACAGAATATCCAAGAATTATGGAATACCATCAAAAGACCAAATTTAAGATTTATTGGGATAGAGGAAGGTTCAGAGATTCAAACCAAAAGAATGCACAATCTCTTCAATGAAATAATATTAATACTTCTTTTGTGAGGAAAAACACAATATCATTCAAGTCAAAGTATAATAAACCAAACAACATGATACAAATTTTTTATAATTACAAATAACAGTGTAAGTTATTCTTTATTAGAACTAAAATGTATCATTGATGAAGCCACTGTATGACAAAGTTCTGGAAGCAACAAGGGATGAGTAAATATATCTTCTAAAGTTTATATCAAGAAGGGATTTATATTCCTAACAACTAGAGGTAGTGTCATATAAAGGAAAGGTCAGGAGCTGTATCTTAGAGAAACTATGTATATGGATGGTATTCCCTGGATTTGTTCAACAAATGGCTTTTGGGTCATTTATACTGGTGAAAGAAGATGGACTTGAAGAAACACAAGAAATGGGCTGAGAATCATGGGAAGTTACTTTCCAATTAGTAATAGCGGCAGTGCATCCTTGAATTACAAAGCAGTCATTAGTTATATTAACAGATTTAAATAGGCCAATACCTCCTGTGTTTTAGTACTTAATCTTTTATAAAATGTTGCTTATATGTGCTCTTCTTTCATGGATTAAATACTTTCACTTGAAAAACTATTAAATACAACCTTTTGTATTACTTGGCATTGCTGTATCCTTCTAAATATTATAAATTTATTTTACTATATTATATTCTACAGAGCTCTACTGTAGAATAGACTATGTGTGACTATGTATCAGCAATCACTTGGGGTTTTTTGGTTTGTTTGAAACCGGATCTTTCTCTCTCTCCCTCAGTCAGTCTAGCCTTTGGTCTTTAAATCATTATTTTATTAATTTACCAAATGATACTAATGCTGCCCTTCATTGGGTGGGATTTTTGGGAACCATAGGTCTAGAGCACTGTTTTACAAATTAAATTCTATAAAACTAGTTCTAGAGAAAGAAGGACAATTTTTTTTTTTTTTTTTGCACACTCTAAACCACCATTCTTTAGAGAGAATAGTGCATATTTTAAAATTTTTTTGTGTGTCTTACAATAAAGGAACTGGCACTTTTCAAACTTATTTGACCTCAGAACTCTTATCTTAAAGGTCATATATATTAACATCCCATAGAAGTAAAGATTTTTTTAGGACATTGAGAAATGAATGCTCTTGTAGATGTAAGATTTTAACCATTTTTGACCATTGTACTGGAAATTAACTCTGACATTAATCTCAAAAGGAAGTTTTTAGAATAATAAATTGGCTTTTCGATGCTGCTGCTTTTTAAAAGGTCCTCCAATCCAGATCTTGTTTTTCAGTTTAGGACAGTGTAGTATAGAGATTGACTAACTAGCTCAGTGTCAGATGCTGTGTAAAGTATTTAGTGGCTGGTAGCACCTCACAGAGCTCCTCATTATATACCACACTGTCAAGACTTTAGAACAGTGTTCCTTGGCCCTGACCACATGTTAGAATCGACTGCAAATGTTTTTCTCTAATATAGATGACGGAAAATTTTACACACACACTGAAGAAAATGGACTAATATGGTGAAGTTTCTGCATTCATCATTATTCAGTTACTGCATTCATCAGTAAAGCCCACTCACTGGCTGCCACCTCCACAACTAGCCTGTTTTATAGTTTCATTTTATTCATATTTAAGTGTGTAACTTTAAAATTAAGTGTACTTTAAAAAAGAAAACAAGTTTGGAGGTAGATACATTTAACCTGATTTAAACATTATACAATGTATTCATGCCTCAAAACATCACACTACCCTACTAATATATGTAATTTTCATGTTTTCAAGTATCAATTAAAAACAAATACAGAAAATAAAAGTTTAAAAGTTAAGAAAAAAACTTTTTAATTAATTTTAAACTTTGAAAAATCACAAAAGTTTAGAGAATATCTGAATACTCCTCTTGCAGCTTTTCCTAAAGTCAGCATCTTACATAATCTTAGTATAGCAATCAAAACCAGGTAATTAGTATTGGTACAAAACTGTTAACTAAATTGAGACCTTATTTAAATTTCACCAGCTTTTCTACTAACAAAGGACTTCACAATACTGTTATAACTAAATTACTTACTAGTGATTCCTTAAATCATTTAGTATAGCTGAGGTATGTTTCAGAAATACACATGCCAAGGTTTTACTCCAGACTAATAAGATCAAAATCTTTGAAGGGCAGTGAGAGAAGGGAGGGTATTTAAGAAATTGTTCCAGGTGCTTCTAGTATGTATTCAGAATTGCTGGCATTCTGGAACTTTCATCTAAAAATATTAAACTGAGTTTCAAATTGTTTGAATAGGAGCCGTGGTTGTGGCTCAAGTGTAGAGCGCTTACCTAGCACACATGAGGCAGTGGGTTCAATCCTCAGCACCACATAAAAATAAATAAATAAATAAAATAAAGGTATTGTGTTAATCTACAACAAAAAATAT